TATGCCAAACATTTTAAGATATGGATATATAAATGTCTGAAAACAAAGTGATTGAAAGTTTATTGTCAGAGTTGGGCAGTTTTAATGTATTGACTGCCTTTTAGAAAGGAGAACCTACATTTCCATCCTTTATTTCCTGTTCCCTTTCTCTTCCCTTAGTATCAGTCCAATAGTCATAGTGGACAAAACTACTCTATGTACTTCTGCATGGTGAGCAATGGAGCCATTCCAATGGGATTGACCTATTGCCTCAGAGCTAGTTAAACCAGGAACAACCGTTACAGTTATGGGCTTTGCTTTGTACAAACTAGCATTAGTATTGCTGCTTTCTATTAACTACGGAACTTGCACTGGGGACTTCAACTGGGAGGGCATGGGGGAGCTAAGGAAAGAAGGAAGTGAGGAGAAAGAAGGGAACTAGAAGGGGGCTAGAAAAAAAAGTAGCAGTATGTGTACTATTAGCATTTAAACCTGGCTAACATTTACCATTGTCATTAATCCGGGCTATTTGCATAGACTAGAACTTATACCTTTTTTTCTTATTGTTTTTCTTAAATGTTTTAAACACCTCTATTAAGAATCAATCTATCTCTACTCACAAACCCATACATAAATATAAAAGCCAAGCAGGAAATAACAATGAAAACATTCCTGCTAAATAAGTAACTTTTAATTCAAAGCAACAGAGGATCTGGAATGCGCATCCCAATTAGCCCGTGTAGTGACAAGCAGTCAACACCTTATTATTTAATCATTAAAGAGAATCTTACCATAATTTTCCTCTGACATATTCCAAAAAATGAATTAAGGATACATCATGTGACTCACAACAACAATCCTTAGTGAAGTTAGATAATGGTAAGACTCCATATCCTACAAAGATTGTGCACTGAGGCTCAGGAATAAACTCTTAAGTAGGATCCCATGAAGCATTTACAACTCTTTTAAAAGTGTATTAAATGTAAGCATTAAGAAACAAGCTGTAAGGGCCCATTTGCCTACCCACTGCTGGTTGTGTCCAGTGTTTAGGGGGATGAAAACACATTGCAATTGCTTCTAGTATTGGTAAACATCTGCTGCCTCATCATTTTTTTTTCTAAGCAGCCGATACACGCCATGAAGGACATTAGGTTACCCCTGCCTTACAGGAACCTCTACCAGCAGGAAGCTGAAATCTCCCGAGGATGACTCTCCATGCTACTTCGAAATATGGCAGAGCTTTCAGTTAAGTCTGATTTTGGTCTTAAAACTGCTTCACTCAAACTAGGCTTTAAAGGAGGCATTGTGAACTTCGCAAACAGACAAAACCATCTCAAAGTTCCCAGGGCCATTTGAGAACCCTTCGCAGTGGCTCAGACCGGCTCTAGATCTCCTGGGCCTGGTGGCCAGGCGCCCTGAAGCCTGGGCTGCCCAGATCGGGGGCTGCGGTGCCCGCTCTCGCCCCCAGGCTGCCCCCACCCCAGGGAGCCAGCTAGCACTTGGCTTTTAACCTGTGGGGCCAGCACGGCTTCTGAGCTTCATCTCAGCAAGCCACAGTACTTGTCCCCAGACGTCACGGGCCAGTCAGGATTAACACGCAACAGGGCGCCCTGCTCAGGCCGCCAGCCCGGGCCCAGGAGCTGTTAAATGCAGATTCAGAGGAGGAACCCCTGGAGAGCTGCTGTTGAATAACACTGTAATCCGAAGGTTTCTCAGCGTCCAGCTTCCCCGCTGGAGAGAAGCTGGGTCGCCGCTGATGGCGGAGCACAGGCCTGGCTAATCTCTGCTCTCTCCCCGAAACCTGGCCAACCCGGAGGCTTCCTGCTCCTCGCTCCCTTTAGTCTTTGGAGTCCAAACTGCTTAGATTAGGGAATAAAGAGGACCAGATATCCCCGGGAAGGAAAGCGATACCCAGCAGTGTAGCCTCAAAACCAGCATCTGGGCGGCCCCGCCCGGCACCCCCAGTTCTACCCACGACCCCTAGTCCCCAGCTCCGCCTAGCCTCGGCCTCGTGTCCTCCCAGCCAAATCCTTGCTTAGACGCCTCCCTTTCGGTCTTCTCCCGGTCTCAGCCTGACCATCTGAGACCAGCCACTCCAGTCTAGGCTCTCCACAACCCCTGGGGGTCATGGGCATCTGTGCCCAGCGATAGCACGGCGGTCGGGAGAGGGCGCCCAGGAGGCTGGCGACCACTAGGCATAGTCAGGGAACCTCCAGATGGCCTCTAAGAGTGGAGAAGACCATGAACCACTAGGAACTGGAGGAGAATAGGATTATAGCTTCTACTAGTGTCTTAAATCTCATATGGTATATAATATATATGATATATATATATATATATATATAATAGATAGATAGATAGATAGATAAATAGATAGATAGATAGACAGATAGATGTAGGTCCTACAACATTACATGAACAAGTGGATTTCCCACCGACATAATAGCCCTCCAGGAAATTAGCTGGCGTAAAAGTCCTTAATCCCAGACCTGGTGAGGATGGCAGCCTTCGTGCCTTCTGAGAGGGTAAGGGAGATAAAACAAAATAAACCATACTGTCAGCAGGCCCTAGAGACAGCGTGGTTAATGAGCTAACTAGGCCTTCCTGAAGCGTAAAGTCCCCTAGGGCACCCAGCGCCAGTGCCGGGTCTCTAACAGGCTGAGCCGCCTTTGTGGACAGGTGGAGAAGCCACCCTTCCATGTCTGGCTCCTGAAGATCCACAATGGGCCTCAGCACCACACCCACCAGCCCTAGACTTCTAAACTAACACTTGAAGACCGTCGGGTGGCTCTGGTGTCTTGACCTTCACTCCCCACCTTTTCAGGAGAAGGGAAGCTGAGCCCACCCTGCTCGCAGACAGAGCACACTGCTTTCACCTCCCCCAGCCTCTTTCAGCCACACTAGCTCCTGTCTTTTTGGAACTGGACAACACAAAGAACATACATCCATCGCTGTCCTCAATCCAACCAATCTGGGTGCACCGGCAAGCTCATGAGCCACGAGCCAACAGCGCCATAAACCCGGACAAACCTACGAAGCCCACATCCTAACGGCGTGGACCGCCTGTCTCATTCTCTTTTTGAAGGTAGGAATGGAGAATGAAAGGCACATGTCTAACCAACACATGACTAACGAAACTGAGTAAGGTAAGTTTGCGAAAGATTGGGGAGGACATATTGTATTAATTCTGTATCCTCTACGCTCCCCAAACTCCATAACTTTGGTCCTTTATCTTTGACTTTAATAAAATAATGATTCGTTGAGAAAATGGGGTATAAATCTTCATTTTGGAGGCAATTAAAGTGTTGATTTCATTCATGCCCCAAAGCGATTCTTGTAATTTGCTCAAATAGCTTTATGTACCCAGCACTCCGGAGCTTTTAGAATCCCATTTTCTAGTTCAGCTTGTTGGATTACAATTTTTACTCAACAGCAGCTACTAGTGGAATCTGCATTTAACTGAGTCCCTAAAGCGGCTGGACACTCTGGGGCCCTAGGGCAGGGGCTCGCCTGTGGCTTTCCCACCTTGATATGCACATACTTCTGTGTACCATTCTACACCGACCAGTTTCCAACTCTCCAAACAGTACTAAGGACCTCTCCCGCTGACACTTCTCAAGATCTGCTTTGCCCGATCATTCATGGGCAAAGAAGAAATGCAGCACAAGTTTCTGAATTACGAGGAATTATTCAAACTGGAAGAGGATGTTGGGGAATATTTTAAGAGGACAGCTAAAAATGAAGTTGGGACAAGACAGCCTTGGCCAGCAGTGACCATGGTAAACTTTCAGAGGAAAACAGTGGAGTAGCCGGCCTTTGACTTAACAAAAAGCAGTCTGGTGTTTCCCCAAGAGTCACTCACATGTCAAGCCAGGATAAGAATGGGCTCTTGGGGTTTGCTGGTGGAGCTGGCGGCAGAGGAGGCCACTGCTTAAATCTCTAGACTATTTGCAGCAATTCTCTACAAAGCTGTCCAGGACCCTGCTTCCTCCCATTCACTCCTCAGGTTTTCACTTTCATTGCTTCTCCTCCACCACCAGCTCATTTGGACCAATCCAGAGACACAGCAACAGGAAAGAGAAACTGAGAGCAACAGTGGTGCCCCGTGACAGAATCACCAACACCCCCAACTTTAAATAAAAGTCGTCCTCATTTAGCAACGCAGCGCAGCGGAAGAAGGGCCTGGAGAGACGATTGGAGAGAAGGGGGCCCAGCAAGGAGCCTCAGTGAAGAGCAACCGCATGGCCCCCTGCCCTCCACACGCAGAGAGTCGCCAGGGCGTCCTTGACGCTCACCCTGCCAAAACCTGCCAAGGCAGAAGGCCCAGAGCACATACCAGCTGGAAGACTGAGAGGAAAGGAGCAGGAGAAAAGTCCATATTTATCTGTTTTCCTAACCTCGGCCTGCTTTTATTTTTTTTTTCTATTAAGTACAATAAAATGGGAGAGCTTGCAGGGAATACCACACAAAGCAATGTTCAGTGAGGTCTAGAAGCGTTCGGCCGGGGAAAACTGACAAGACAGGCTAATGAACCGTGTAGACAGGGAGAAAATAGCCAGCGTTTGCTAGATTTCAAACCCTCACTGTCTGCCTTAGACCACCTATCTTGGATTTATTCCTAATAAAATAAGAAATAAACAGACCTTACACTTTTCTTTTCTTCAAGATTGGGGAGGGGGGAGGATACCCATGAACAAAGACCTACAATCAGAGGTGGCCACTGGCAGTTAACACTCCCATTATTATGGACGGTAAATAAAATAAAGACAAAAATTAAAAGCGACAAGAAACAGGTCAAGTTTGCAGGCAAAGCTTTTACAAGCTCATCTCTCCAGGTCGAATACTAGAGCTAGCCTTAATGAAGCAATAACAGCCACATTATTCAAAAATTTTCATTTTGATGGAAATGTATCTAAAAGGGACTTAATCATATGCAAATAATAAAGGAGGTGGTAGTGACCCAGCAAGCAATATGCATACAGATTTTTTTCTTAGGGATGTTGAAATTGAAAGTCGCATACCTGGTCAGTTAGATTTGCTGATCTTGTTACATCTTCACTGTCTGATTTTGATCCTCCTTCTCTATCATCTATCACCAAATCGATAGGCATTTTCCCTTTCAAACAGCTAATATACCGGTGGCAGAAATTGTCACATAATTCGTGTACCTACATTATGACAGAAATAAAAAAATGGAAATATAATCAGGAGAGCATAAGCGACACTGACAAGTGCGGTCCACCCCCTTGTGAGAGCCAAACTTCCAAACAGGGGACGCACAGGGCAACTGTCCCCGGGAGACCCCCAGACGCAGCATTCAGAATTAGGAATAACTTCCTTTTCTTGCAAAATAGAGATATCCCAGAAAATTGACAGTGACAGGATTGATTCACAGGCGACAACATATTCAACACCCATGTTAAATTCATCTGCTCCTGGGGCTGTGGCCAGTACACAGGTGACCTGCGTGGGGGACACTTAAGGTAAACTATGTAATGTCATCCAGTTAGTTTACCATAAAGCGTTCCCCAAAGTTTCTAAGGAAAATGTGTGACCCACACACGCACACACACACACACACATGAGTCTTCATGCGGTGATATAAAATACGTGCCTGACAACCCAAAGCAAGTTGCCTTTGCACGCTATATGAAAAAGGAAAAGAAAAACATATAGCCACAAAACTTATCAAATTGATTTAAAAAAAGAAAGAAAGAAAGAAAGAAAGAGAAAGAAAGAGAGAAAGAAAGACAAAAGAATTACTCAAAATACTTCAGTCTAAGTACAGCCTACTCTTACAGGCCCCAGGCATCCCTTACATGCAAAACCTCACAAGAAACCCTGGTGTGCTTGCAATTTAATGTTAGTTTGAATTACAATGCATTAAGTTTTTATTGCTGAGATTTATAGAACAGCTAGCAAAATCATGTTACCCCACACCCTCTCTTGAGTGTGAAGGTGAGGTGTGTGCTGGATCACAGATTCAAGAACTTGACCCAACCATCAACCCGGCTTTGTCTCTGGGCAAGGTCTAAGGTGATCTCCTCCCCAGGGCTCATTGCCCACTTGTCCTTTCTCTCAGTCCTTTCTGAGTTTGACCTACCACTGATCTTAAACCATCTTCTAGAAATTCACTAAAACAAAACAACCTTTCCCTCCCCTAGATAGCAAAGAAGAGGAGTAAACACACACACACACACACACACACAGACACACACACACACACACACACGGCATTAACTTGTAAAACGAATTCACTCCGGCATTCTAGGCATGCACCGGGGTGCCTAGCAGTGCAGCTGATGCACAAAGCCAGCAAGGTACATGAGGCTAGGGTGTCTGTGATCCCGGTTTTAGTGGCTGAAATTGTAATTAAACTGCAAAGAGAAATGGACGCTAAGATTGGCCTTGACACTAATTACCAGAAAGAAAGACATTTATGCAAATCTCTTGGAAGCCTGAACTTCAGTCCTTCTGAACCCTCCCTTCTGTGTGCTGGGATGAAAGGGAAGGGGAAGGGGAATAAGGAATTTACCTTCTCTAATTCCAACAGATGAAACCTTAATACTTGTATGGCTTGAATCATCTGCAAAGATACAGCAAGAATAAACACTCCATTCCTGGTTTGCAGAAAATTGGCTGTCATAGTTCTAGCATCTCCAACTCAACCCTTCCCCCCCATAAATAGAGTTATTTTGATTTATGGCAATAACACTAAAACTTAATAGCAGCAACTGGGTACCATCTAGAGGTTTATATTTCTTAAGGAGAAAAAATGGCTAAACCAACAACAAAACATCTAAGTGGGGATCATAAACACTCTCCTCCCCCATGGCTCCCTCTTCCCCAGTCTTAAAGTCCCCACCCCAGCCCCAAAGGGCCACTGTCTGGGCTATACGTTTCCTGTGATGAAGTTACGGGAAAGTTTCTCCACTTATCCCCAAACAGTGGGTTTGCACTTGGCAAAATTCTTCCTTCCTTCTGTCCATACACCTTTGATGCCAATTGGTTGTCTGGGGCCTCTGCCCTCGTCGTGGCTCTAGAGAAGGAGGCTCATAAGACTGGAAGTCCGTAAGGTTTAAGCACACACGCTGACAGGCGGGGAGATAAATCCCCAGGCTGATTAGAGCGGTGCAGCCTGGCCATCATAAAAAACAAAAGCTGGCGTTCCCCAGCCGCTGCTCCTGGGCCATCTCAGATGAGTTTATACCCCGGCATCCAGTCCCCAAACACTTGTCTATAGACAGAAAACGTTTGCAGTCGACTTGCGACTACGGACAGACCAGTCTGGAAAGCTCAGGGCTGGGGGATGGAAGTAGGGTGGACAGATAGGGAGGAGAGTGAGGGGTCTGCTCTTACCAAGTTATCCAGTTCTGGATTGGAAGAGAATAGAGGTTTTTCTGCGCGAATCTAAATACAAGTGAGGAGAGGGGAAAGAAAAAAATGAAACGAAATGAAATCTGTTCGCCTTCCTACTTTCCTGCCTCGTTTACACTGTTAGGGATAGGATGGAACTTCCAGGAGGGACTCAAGTTCGTCCCTCACGGAAACACTGTAGTGTGAACCCAGTAGGCCTGAGATCAGCCCAGAGCGCGCTCTCACTTCAGCTAGAGCTCCGCTTACGGAACGCTGCTCGCCTGCCACTCCGAAACAGCCACATAGCGTGGTGGTCGTGATTTCTTTTCCTAGTGAGCTTTCTGCCTCAGCTTGTGGACGGTGAGTGGGTGGGAAGATGGGTGATGGTCTGGCAAACACATTCATTGGAAGCAAGTCTCAGGGAGGCAGTAACACGCGTGGGTTAAGGGAGACTATTTTTGGCTACCTTTGAGAAATTGCTCTCTCTAAATCTCTACTTCTCTATCTCTATGTGTGTGTTTCTATGTGTGTGCATGTGTGCGCGCAGGGGACCGGGACAGAATTCCTTTTTGTTTCTTTTTACTTTTTTTTTTTTTTAATATTTGTTTTGCTGACCTGTTTGGCGAACACCGCTATATCTTCATTGAATGACTCTGACGAGCAGACGTCCCCGCCCGCCACCCCCGGCTCGCGGGGGGTACAAGTAGCTAATTCACATTTCTCAAAAATCAGTGCTAAGAGAGGGAAGAGGGGGTGTCTGCAAGAAAATACAACAGTCACAAACAACACAATGATTAGTCCAGAGTCACCGAAAAAAAGCGCCCAAGAGAAACAACCCGAGTAGCTAGCTCGAGGCCAAGAGACCCTTGGGTGATCTGATCAGCTTTTGCCCTTTTCCTAACCCCCACCCCCACGCTCAGGTGACGGCTCACCTCCCCCTTGCTCCTGGGGCTCTGAACTCAGAGGCCCAGAACCCTTGGACCGTGTCTGTGGAATGGTTCAGCATATCTGGCCGAAGAAATTGGCAACATTTGCTACGAATAAAACCCAAGCGGTTCCAGCAGCCATTTTGAATTAAGTTTCGCACCGCGACAAACCCTCGTCCCTCCGCCGCACAGGCAAGACCGGGTGTCCGGGGAAGGCATAGGGGCCACGGGGTAAGAGAGGACCAGCCTCTGCCATCCTCGGAGGCTCGGTACAAAACCCTAGGCTCAGGGAATCTTGGTGGCAGGGGTGCAGCAAACTTGAGGAAAGGGCCTCTGTGGGTGCAGAATAGACTGTCACAGGGCTGCACCTACCGACCCTGGCCGCACAGCCCTTCAGAAGCAGGAGGTCTTTCAGGGCTCCCCAGCAGTGCCCTCCCTTCGCAGACGCTCCCCATAATTCCCCAAGGAAAGTTCCTTCAAATGATTCCATACTCAAGCCTTCCATCTCGCCTGGAGTGGTAAAGCGACTGACCAGCATCTAAAAGGCCTAGATGTCGCTCGTCTCAGCCCATTTAAAAAAAAAAAAAAAAGACTTTTAATGCTCTAGGAGTCTCGAGCCTTTTTATTAGCTCTCACAGCCCAGCTGGGAATTTAACAGTTTGGGGTCCTTTTCAAGGTTTCCTCAAATGCTCTGCCTGGAGTTTAAACCATTTGCAGAGAGAAGGCTAGGTTTTAAGCAAGCCCACCGCACAAGGGACTAGAAACTAAAGCAAAAAGATTTCCTCCCTCCCCCCCAAACCAGAGGCTCAGCGTTACATTTTTTTTTTTAAAAAGAGAAAAGTGAAATAGAAGTTATTACAAAGTTTAAAAATAAAAGAGGGGGGAGTGCCCCCTCAAACCACCAGCACATAGTAGAATACAAGTAACTTTCAAAAGGCTTTTTCTACTGCAAGCTCTAATAGAATGGCCGACGGAACACACTAAACCCTGGCCAGAGTCTTCGGAAGAGCATCCCACAAACATTTCTTGTTAAATCCTGCAGGTTTCGCCTTTGAACACAAAGTGACAAAACATCCAGAAGTTTCTAAATGTCTGTGTCAATTCAGAGAGGGCCCCTCTCCTTGACTTCAGTTGAACAAACTTCTTAAAGCAAGACATGTCCCCCTTGTCTGACCTGCAGCTGTCCCTCTGACTTTATTGTGCACCGGCAGAACCGGCATACGGTGGCTGAGTAAACTCCGCAAGTCAGAACAATCAATGGCTTAAAAGATTTTCCCTAAACTAAAAGTTTCGTTCCAACACAAAGGCGCCTACCCTTAGAAACCCCCCAACGCTCTCGAGCTAAGTCTAGCGAGCAAGGTCTCAGATTTGCTAACTCTGAGTCTGAGAGGGGATGCGGAATCTTTAGACTGCCACTGAAGCACTGGGACTCCTTTGCGGCCAACGTGGCGGCCAAGCCAGGCGCTGAGCCTGCACCAAGAGTAGTTGGAAGTCGGGAGGAGGCTCCCCCGCTCCACACCAACCCAGTTTCCACGCAATGTAAATGAAAAGTCACCAGCTATGTATTTCTAATCTAGAGTGCTCTGACTTTCCAGTTGCAAGGGCTTGGGAACCTTCAACTTCTTAACTCCTGCCCATTATACCTACCCATAAATGGCATCTTTATCTCTCTTTAAAGCGTCATTGACTGAGGAGCCCATGCTGGGGGCCATGGCGTTGGTATGAGCTGTGTGCGGGTACTGATGCGAGTGCAGAGGAGGCCCGTGGTTCAGGTGGTGGACCGGCTGCATGGACCTGGCTGCATGCGGGTCCCCATACATCGTGGAGGGGATCCCTACTCCATCCATGCCCCCATAATGGGGTAGGTCGTCGTACTGCATGACAAACAGGAGAGGAAAAAAAGGGTCAGAGGCCAGGCGGGTAACCGGTACGGTAGGGCACCGAGCTTAGATCAGTCCAGCTGGATCCTTCAACCCGAATTCCGTGGCCTTACATCTCTAAAGTTCAGCTTTCTGTTGTAAAAATTAATTTTAATAGTAAGAACTCTCGAATTCTCAGTGAGAGTCATCTGAGATGAGGGTTCCTGTCCTAACTTGTGTCCATACAGACCAATTCAGAAATCCAAAATCTTTTGGCAAGGAAGGGAGGAAGGAGGAAGGAAAGGCAGAGAGGCATTCTCCCGGAGGCGGAAGGTAAAACATGCATGTTTCTGGAGGAGGAAACCGAAAATCACAACAATAAAACGTGCCGGGACAGTGTAGCAGACCCGCCTAGCTTCACACAGCCCCTTCACTTCGGGGGGGGGGTGTGTGGATTTTTTTTTAAAGTTATGATGGGAATAGTTGTGCCAAGCAGTGAATTCTGAAAGGTTTCTTATTTTATCTCAATGCCAGCATTGGGCAGTCCTGTAAGACACTTATGTTTGCCTTGCTTTCCCAAACTCTGCTAAACTATACAAAAACCGAAATGCCCCCCCCATATATGTTATACTGAAGTGTACATAAGACAGCTTGTGTTGCCTTTTACAGCTGAACATTCAACTGGGCAACGTTATTTCCAAGCTTAAAGAAAAGCTATAAAGGAAGCAACTAATATTCTGCTTTATTTTTTTTTAACCCTCACAAACTTTCTTTCTAGAGTAGAAGTCAAGGAAGCAATTGTTACATGCTAGCTAGTTGTAAAGCAGACTCAAAAGCAAAAAATGTAAACCTACGATGGGGGGTGCTGCTTTCAAATTGATTGCCATTACTGTCTGCGATAAATTCAACTATTTGGGGTTTTCTAATTGTTTTATTTCTTAGTTACTTTTCTAAGATATGGAAATGCTGAGAGGGAAATGATTTCCAAAGAGAGGGGAACTGGCCACTTTCATCCTATGAACGCCAGAGGTGTGAAGAGTTGGGAAGAATGCTGACATTTGCCTGAACCAAGAGAATAAAGAAAAATGTGTCCTCTAGTAACTTTCTTTTCCAAAAGGGGCTTTGAGGGCCAAGACACAAATTATGCAAGGCAGCCTTTTTGTAGACTCTTTTCTTTTAAGAAGCCACCTCAGCCGGGCGTCATTGTCTCAGTTTACTTTCAAGGCATTTCCATTCAAATAGGAATATTGGGGAAATTAGTATTGCATTTTAAAAGTGAGTAGCTCTGTGTTTAGTATCTAACTAGTACAAAACTTAGCTAAGAAAAAAGAACTGAAAACTTATTATCTTGCATAAAAACCCAGGCAAATTAAAATTACTTTTAAAAGGGGAATGCTTTTTTCAACCAAAAATTCACTGCACCAGGACATTACTTATCTAAAAATGCTACCTGCTTCTACTGATATTAAAGATGAGCATAATCGATAAAAAGGCAAAAGTTCCTAGCTGCTCATTTTAATTAAACATAGCTTTTAACTTTTGGTTCCTAAATGCTTAAATTACAGCACTGGATATGTAGCATTTCTCCCCTTCTCTTTCTTTCCTTTTAAAACAGGTGATTCCTTGAGCCTGTATTTTTATTTATATAGCTGTTGGCTAGGAATCTACAGACAACTTGATTACTTGAATTAATAACCACAAGAAACACGCGTAAGGCTTCAAATGCATTAAGTAAACCTGTCGATTTAGGCCGCGGCTTTAGAATCCTCATTCAAAATGAGAAAGAGAAGAGGAAAGTTAGCAGCACTGTCTTTCAGCCACGTTTCAGTTTAATCTCACATTTGAGTTCCACAATTGTTTTTAATACGTACCCTTTGCGCCATCGGCCTCTCTGGCTCCCTTTCTACTTCAACTTCTAATATATCCTCTTTAAGGCCAGTGTGAAAATAAACAAATATGCAAACTCCCTCGGAAAAAAAATAAAGCACAACAACAACAAAAAATCCCTTTGCGTCTCCAGCAGTGTGAATTACTGGTCCCAGATCTTCGGTCTACCGGACCTGAAGCAAGGCGCCCGCGTCGTTGAGCATAAAAGCGCTCTGGTTCCACCAAGACAGCAGTGGGAGGGGAAAAAAAAGCAGATCTTCTCTCCCCCCTCAAAAATATCAGTTTAAAAAAAAGAAAGAAAAGAAAAGAAAAAGAAAAAGAAAGAGCGCCCCTCAGACCCAACTACCAAATCTCATGGCTTTCTGCCACTCCAGCTGTCAATCACAGGCGAGGTTGTCAACGTGGTGAATGAATGATCATCCGTTCTGTCTTCTTCTGGTCAGAACACCTCAAATGTTAATATTCAAATGCACAAAGCCCTAGCGCCCGCTTTCCTTGAATCAGTCCTAATTCCTAATCAGTTTCTCTCTTCTCTCGCTCTCTTTCTCTTTCTCTCTCCCTCTTTGCAACTGCTGCACTGAAGGGAGATTAGAGAGGAGGGTTAAAAAAATGTCTGTCTGAGTTTGTCTTAAAGGAGCCACGATCGATGCTGCCCGCTTGCAGTCGCCGTGCGTGTGTAAAGTGTGTGTTGCACAGGCGGAGAGGTGGATTCCGACCAGAATGCTAGAACCCGGAAGTAGTGGTGGCCATAACAGGTCGCGTCTTACACAATGCATTGGGCTGCAGCAAGTAGGCTCCTCGGCAGGGGTGGGTGCGCGAAGCGAGCTCTGGCCGCACTGGAGAGGCAGAAAGGCGCTCCATGAATTCGCACGCCCAGGCACTAACACCACACACCCAGGGCACATGCACACAAATGCAGGCTGCAGCTCCCGACCCGCCGACTTTACGTCCCCTTCCAGCCTCTCTTCCCAAAGCGGACTCTTGAAATAAATCGGGAATAAACGTAGGGCAGGCAGATGCCGGAGTCAATTCGCTCAGGGCTCCGCTCATGAAAGACTTCAAGACTTTCCTCGAAATTATTGGGGTCTGCCAGTATTTTTCGGGGTGGGGGGTGATGCCAAAAGTATTGGATTCTCTGCTAGACTCCCGGAGGAGAAAAGTCAAAGCCAGAGCAAGAAGAGGAACTGGAGCTGGATTGGAAAAGGTTCAGCTCAGGAGTCCCGAGAACGTGGGGTAGCGGTCGCCCGGGCGTTCTGCAGACCCAGCTTAGAGGTTTTCTTTTCTTTTCTTTTGTTTTTTTTTTTCTTTCTCTTTTTTCTCCCCCCGCTGTCAGAAGTGGACGTAGGGCTGGCGAAAAGGAAATGCTTGCATTTTGTCACTTTGAGTCCGGACGCCCCCACCTCCTCTCCCTGGCAGCTCTCAGCCCCAGCCGCGGCGCGAAGTGAGGGAGGAAGGGAGGGAACAATGAGCCGAGGGCCGGGAATGTGCCCCCAGCGCTTGTTTACAAACACCGAGCTATTTATGACCGCCGGAGAGCGAAACTCAACTCCAGCACCGAGCAGTTAGACCTCGCGGGCGGCCGTGGGCCTGGGAGCCCCGAGACCCGAGGCTCTTTCTCGGTCGCGCTGTCGGCAAGGTTAGCCGTGCGCCCGGGGCGCGGCGAGGCTGCAGAGCTCGGCTGCGCTGCGGCCGGAGCTGCCTTTGTCTGGGCGACGCCGAGGGGGCTCCAGCCTCGGCCTTGCTCGGGCCTGGAGACGCTGCGCCCCCCACCTCCTTCATCGGCGACGCCCGGCGCCGGCCTCCCAGACCTCCATCCCTCGGTTTGTCTATCTCCCGGGAAAACTCCCAGTTCCAGAGAAAAAGAAATCCACTTCGGAAGCTGAGATTTCAGACAAAAGCTGACCCTGCCCACAACTTGAAGTCTCCAACCAGCCAGTGGTTTTTAACTTTCTCTCTTGAAATACCACACCCTGGACTTAAAATTGTTTTTTGAGTCTTTTTATTCTCACTCTGCGCTTGTCTTCAGTTACTCTACTTAGTGGGGGTTATTTTACTCTTTATGTTTCTGTGCCCGGCTCTCGTGGCTCAGATAGCTCAGTCTCAGTAGCTCTCAGAGCAGCTGGAAACCTCACATCCCAGGCAGGGCTCTCAGCTCGCTGGGCTCGGAGAGGATCCCCCCCCCCCCCCCCCCGAAACCCCGCAGAAAACACCCCCTGCGGTCGACTGGAAAATGAGCTCACCCAAATCTCGGTAGGCAGCCGTGGAGAGAGCTCCGCCAATCAGAAGGCGTCCCCGCCCAGGCAGCCGCGCATTGGCTGCGGGGAAAATCAATTATCAAATAATCGATCAGCAGGGAGCTTCGATCTGCTGGGAATGCAAACTGCCATTCCGGATTCCCGCCCTGAAGGTGGCCAAAAGGCTCTCTCCACCCCAAAGCTGCCGGCCCGCGCTCCCATCGCCCCCGCCCCCATCTCACTGCCAGCTGCGGACCGAACCCTCACCCCAGGGGCCCGGGAAGGTTTCGAGGAGAGTTCTGAGAAAGATTAGGGGGGCTTCCTTCACGCAGAGATTGTTTGAAAAAGGTTAGCATCTCTGAAACGTATTGAAGCCAACTCTTAGGCTCAAAGTCATGGACCTGTTTCCATTCTTCAGGCAGTACTCAAGTTTCTATTGAGTGGGTTTCTACGGAACAGGGAACACAGGGTAAACATTAGAACCTAGAGCTGGAATTAGGTTCCACCGAGCAATGGAGCCTCCTAGGCAACATCCACAGCCTTTGGCAGTCTACACAGTCAGCGCGGGGCTAGTTCACTCCAGCAGCAGTGACTGTGGGTTAAGCCTAGTAGACCAGGCGTGAGGGGCCCCAGCAATGAACACCTGAAGGGTTGACATATGTTCACCCCAAACCTTCAATGGGCTTTGCCTTGAAAGAGATCCGACTCTTTAAAACAATAAGAGGCCCCACGACCCCTCATCATGTGCCTCTGTGTCTCCTCTGTCTCCTTTTTTGCTTCGACGCTCAAGTTTGAAGCTTTTACTTTTCCCATCATATTCTTTTGCTCTTTTCTTGCACAAACGCCCCCGATGTATCATTTGGAAGGTTAATGCAGACGTGTGCATCAAAACTAGGCATGGAAGAGCCTTGAATTACCTCCTGCTCCCCGGAAGATTTCCCCCAAGTTTTAGGAAGCTGAGCTGGGAGCTGCTTGGGCCAAACAGCCTACTTCTCTGCGAATTATAGAACCTACCAAGCTGGGCACACAGCCTGAAAGCCCTTCTCCAGCTCCAGACTAATGCGGCCCACACCTGAGTGGCGGTCTACCGCTGCTGGATCTTGCGGGGTGTGAATGTCATCACCCCAAGAGGACTACCAAGAAGCAGCAAAATTCCCAGGGGGGTGGGGGGGAGGCGATGTTAGGAAGGACGCTCAAACCAGACACCACACTGGGCATGTCTATGTTTACAATCCTTAAATAAAAGCAAGAGAAATCGTCTAAGTGCAATTTAACTGGGGGAAGTTTACTGTAAAATACACGTAAATGACCTAGTCTTTAAGAGCCCAAGGTAGTCTCAGGAAGACTTAAGCAGTGGGCTTAGAGTTTCCTTAACTCTGCGCGAAGGTTTTCAAGTTTGGACAAGGTCAATTTTGGTAAACTACATATTTTTGAGACTAGGATTTATTTGGAGTTCTTGCTTTTCAGTAAATGATTTTGTTTGCCAGTCTAGGTGGCAAAGGGACTTACAGGTAAGAAACTTTTCAAACACAAGTACAGTCTTCAAAGCAAGAACAAGGCTGTTGGTTTTTTAAAGTGATGTGTCAGGTTACCTTTAAAACATACTTTAATTACCTACCAAAAGGTTCTCCCTTAAGACGAGGATAGTTTGAACTTGTGAGGTTAAAATAAAGCCCTGTTGGTTTTGAACAGTTTCCACTTAAAAGTGTGAACCTGAGCCTCGTACTCCTTACAGGCCTGCATAGATTACTACTGAACAATTGGGCAGCTAAAACACTTTTACAATGTAATTACAGTAGTATGAGTTGTTTGCCCAAACCTCATTCTGGATAAGGATTTTACAATTAGCAAACAGTTATTATAGTTGGGGCTTGCTGAGAGAAATTGCAGATGTATAGAATTATAAGATAGAAGCCATAAAAAAAAAAACCTCTTCCAGCAAGGCAGCAATTAATCATCTATTAAAAGGAAAGGTGAAGAGGCAGTTCAGTTCGAGATAGCTCAGAAAGTTACTGTGACATAAATTACTGCGGTATGTGTGCTGTTCTGGATGTACCTAACCCTAAGTTTATTTCAGATGTTTCCTTTTAAAAGACAGTAGCATTCTGTTTTTTTTTTTTTTTTTTTTTTTTTTTTTGCAGAACACTGGTGCTTAGTTCTAGCTGATGCCCCTGCTCTTCAAGATGCAGCTCTTCTGTTTTCTGTTTTCCTTTCATGGCTCACAGTATCTTCCCAAAGATAGGATGCAGGGACTAAGAAAGGCGATCTGAGTTCCTGGCCTCTATTGTTTATCACCTACCCTGTTGGGAGGCCTCTAAAGCAAACAGCATTCATCTTGGCTGTTGGTAGTCGCAGAGAAATTCCTGTAACTTTTTGTTCTCCTGCAAGGAACTCTCTGCAAAGTTCATATTCTGAACTGGGCTTTTGTTTCCAAAGTTCCCACTGATGAGTCAGACTTAAACTTCTCGAAATTAAAGAGGCGCCTCTGAAGGTAAAATGTGTGTGTGTTTGCCAGCCCAACACAAATAAAGTCCTGTTAATCAATGGAGTTTGGCAGCTGTGTTCACAAAATGATAAGTGTTTATCATCTGTCACCTCACTCTAAGATGCCTGTTAAAATGTTGGGGTTGCTCTTGAGGTTCTCCTGGAGTGTGGGGGCTTGGGATTTGTACTTCAAGAAAAACATTATCAGTTCTGTGCCCTCCAAATAGTCCCCCACATTAGCATTTGCATTTAAAAAAACAGAATGAGGGCAGTTTAAAGAAAGTGGATTTGAAATCTAGTAGAGATAATGGAGGAATGCTGGTGATAAGAGACTGCATGTGATAGGAGAACACTACCAGGAATTTAAAGCTAATGGATGACTGTGAGGAAACTGAAATAAACTATTTAGACGGCTCTTACAGGGAAAACTCTGGCTAGGTGATAGGAAAGAGGGTTTAAAGGGCAGGATTAGGAAGGACGTTAATCAACTGTCCCAAAGCAATCCAGGCCACAAGGCTGGGGGAACTGTTTACCACACTTTGCTTCAAAAAACAAAGACTGTCTGGGTCCAGTTCACAAGTCAATGAGAGGTCAGATTCGGCTCTCTGACCATCACAGGGAAAATGCCTGACTCACTATCTATTGGCTGCCTAACAAAAGTCCAGGAAAAATAAATGTTGGAAGCCTGGTTGCTTTCCTTACTACTTTTCTATTTCAAATCATTAAAATGCTTTGGTCTCTAGAGAGGAGAAAACTACACTGGTTAACATAATTACCAGCTCTGACATTTTCAGAACTTATAGAGGTCTTTTATTAATTAAATAGAGGGCTTAATAAAATATTCCTAATAAAATTTATGGTTGTCTTAAAACTTTCTAAACAGTGCTATAAATTCTTAATAAAATTAACTGGGAAATGAGTTATTAGCCTACACGTTGCCTTCCACCAAACCTCAACAGGGTCTGCAGAGTGGAAAGAAATGGAGATTTTTAAAATATATATATATATAAATATTAGGCAAAGCTA